CATTCAGCCTTAAAAAGGAAGGAAATTCTGATAGGCTACATGGATGAATGAATCTTGGGGATATTATGCTAAGTGAAGTAAGCTAGTCACAAAAAAATAAATACTGTAATGATTACACTTATGTGAGGTACCTAGAGTAGTCAGATTCATAAACAGAAACTAAAATGGTGGTTGCCAGAAGCTGGGGGTGGGGGGGTGGGTAGTTGTATAGTTTCAGTTTTCCAAGATAAAAAGAGTTCTGGAGATTGGTTGTACAAGAATGTCAATGCACTTAACACTACTGAACTGTACACTTAAAAATGGTTACAATGGTATATTTCATGTTATGTGGACTTTACCACAATTAAGAAAAAAAACCACACACACACACACACACGAGAGACATTTTGGAGATTATAATTAGGCCTCTTGGTTGCAAGTCATAGAATCCCAATATGAACTGGCTTAGGCACAAGATGGAGGTAATAGGATTTACTGGTTCATGGAATCCAGGAAGAGTTGAACCATGGGAAGGGCAGGAATATGAAACTTCAGGAAAAACTGGAACCAGAGACTTGAGATTTTTCCAGGACTTTCTCATTGTTTCTCACCTCTGCTGTTTTCTGCATGTTGGCTTCATTCTTTTTCATTGCAGACCAGCTGGTTCCACATGGCAGGACATTTGGCTGCTGACAGCTCCTGTTTTACGTTTTATGGCTTCCACACTGGAAAGGGATTTTTTTCTTAGTTTCAGTTCAAAAATTCTGGATAAGGATTCTGATTGGCGCATCTTGGCTTAGGACCAGTGGCCAACGGTGTGAGGTCATTTGACAATACTATGCAACAGTCAGAAGTATTTACAGAAACGTGAAAAGGAAACAATGATTTCTATAACGCAGTATCAATTATGTACATTTAAAACACATACATAAAATGATATATTATTCAAAGATACATGTATAACCAAAGACATATATTAAACACAATTAGAGTGGCTACCTAAGAAGGGAGGGATGGAACATGAATAACTTGAATGAAGGAAAAAAAGATAAAATGAGAAAGGACTTGTTGATGAAAGGGTGAACCAAATCGTATGATTGCCTCAAATCTCTGTACCTGAGGGAAAAATAGCAAACCAAAGTGAGAAGAAAAAAAGGAAAGAAAAAGAAAAGGTACTTCTGAGTGAGAATGGGGGGGCAGTTTTCAAGAGAAAAGATGAGAATGTTGAGGTAATGAATACCATAGTTGTCCACTACAGAGATAGAAGGCATATATTCTGATATTGGATTAAATGTGGGGAGTGAGGGAGGTGGGTTTTGACTTAGATGATGGCATAATTCATTGAGATATGGCTGGTGAACAAACAAGTATTTTAAGGGAAAATCACAGATTTCATAAGTTTGAATCACTTATCAGACATCTAAGAGGATGTCCTTTTTTTCTTTGCCAGAAATGTGTCTATTTTTAATGTCTATTTCTGAAAAATGAGCCCTTCAATTGATCAAGTGCTATTCTTTTTCTTTTATTAATTTGATTTTATCTTTATTTCTTGTTTTCTCTCGTTTAATAATTATTAATTTTCATTTTTTAAAAAGATTCTATTTATTCATTTTATTTATTTATTTTAAAAAATTTTATTTATTTATTTGACAGAGAGAGACACAGCGAGAGAGGGAATACAAGCAGTGAGAGTGGGAGAGGGAGAAGCAGGCTTCCTGCATAGCAGGGAGCCCAATGCGGGGCTCGATCCCAGGACCTGGAATCATGACCTGAGCCGAAGGCAGCCGCTTAACGACTGAGCCACCCAGGCGCCCCTTATTTATTCATTTTAAATCTTTTTTTTAATTTTTAAAATTTATTTATTCATGAGAGACAGAGAGAGAGAAGCAGGCTCCCAAGGAGCAGGGAGCCCGATGCGGGACTCGATCCCAGGACCCTGGGATCATGACCTGAGCCGAAGGCAGACGCTTAACCATCTGAGCCACCCAGGTGCCCCCTTATTTATTCATTTTAGAGAGAGCATGTGCAATCGGGGAAGGGGCAGAGGGAGAGGCAGAAAGAATCTTAAGCAGACTCCGCACTGATCACGGAGCCTGATGCAGGGCTCAATCCCACCACTGTGAGATCATGACCCTAGCTGAAACCAAGAGCTGGATGTTTAACCAACTGAGCCACCCAAGTGTCCCATTATTAATTTTCATTCTTTAAAAACTTTTTTTTTTAATTTTAAATTTTATTTATTTTTTTAATTAAGTTTTTAATTTTAATTCCAGTATAGTTTACATACAGTGTTATATTAGTTTCGGGTATACAATATAGTGATTCAACAATTCTTTTTTTTTTTTTTTTTAATATTTTATTTATTTATTTGACAGAGACAGAGACAGCGAGAGCAGGAACACAAGCAGGGGGAGTGGGAAAGGGAGAAGCAGGCTTCCTGCTGAGCCGGGAGCCCGATGTGGGACTCGATCCCAGGACCCTGGGATCATGACCTGAGCCGAAGGCAGTCGCTTAACCAACTGAGCCACCCAGGCGCCCTGATTCAACAATTCTATACATTACTCAGTGCTCATCAGGATAAGTGTACTCTTTAATCCCCTTCACCTATTTCACCCATCCCCCCACCAACTTCCCCTCTGGTAACCATCAGTTCTCTATAGTTAGGAGTCTTTTTCTTGGTTTGTCTTTTTCGTTTCTTAAATTCCACATGAGTGGGGGCACCTGGGTGGCTCAGTTGGTTAAGCGACTGCCTTCGGCTCAGGTCATGATCCTGGAGTCCCGGGATCGAGTCCCGCATCGGGCTCCCTGCTCAGCGGGGTGTCTGCTTCTCCCTCTGACCCTCCCCTTCTCCAGCTCGCTCTCTCTCTCATTCTCTTTCTCAAATAAATAAAATCTTAAAAAAAAAAAAAATTCCACGAGTGAAATCATGTTACTTGTCTTCTCAAACAGACTTATTTCATTTAGCCTTATACTCTTTAGCTCTATTCCTGTCATTGCAAATGGCAAAATTTCATTCTTTTTTATGGCTGAATAATATTCTATTGTATATCTATCCCACATCTTCTGTATCCATTCATTTGTTGATGGACACTTGGGCTGCTTCAATAATTTGGCTATTGTAAATACTGCTGCAATAAACACAGAGGTGCAAGTATCCCCTTTGAATCAGTGTTTTTGTATTTTGGGGGTAAATACCCAGAAGTGCTATTACTGGATCACTTTCTTTTTTTTTTTTTTAATTTTCCCTCTGACCCTCCTCCCTCTCATGCTCTCTGTCTCTCATTCTCTCTCTCTCAAATAAATAAATAAAATCTTAAAAAAAAAATAAATTTGAGGGCTAAACTTAAGTCTTAAATTTAAATTTTCCCATCAACTTAGTAAATTTTCTTTTATTATTTCTTTGATTCCTGCTTCTCCTCAGTCAGTGCTGTTATCACCTTCTGGAACTTGTATTTTATTATTAGTTTTCTGGATCCATTCTCCATGTCTTCTATTCTTGTCTCTCTAGTTTTATATTATATTTTCCCCTCTGAGTTCTGGTAAATTCTCTTGAGCTGGGTTAACTTTTGACATATCTCATCTGCAGTACAGAGACTGTTGCATTAATTTGGCAATCATGTTTTTCCTAAGAATTTTGTTCAGATTATTTTTCCATCTTTTGAAAAAAAAATTGATGTAATGTCCTAACTTCAAAGTTAAAACGTATTAGTTTTGGGGTGCCTGGGTGGCTCAGTCAGGTGAGCATCTGCCTTTGGCTCAGATCATGATCCCAAGGTCCTGGCACCCAGCCCTTCATCCAGCTCCCTGGTCAGCTGGGAGTCCGCTTCTCCCACTGCCCCTCCCCCCACTCCTGCTCTCTCTCAAATAAATTTAAAAAAGAATTATAGTTTTTAATATTTCTTCCTATTTCATTCGTATGTTTTAAAGATTGCCATTTGCTCTGACCACTCAAATTAATCTTCTTTTGAAACACTGAATCTTTTCACATATCTATTGACTTTATCCATCTGCTTAGCCTTTGGTGGCAAAATGTGTATCACATAATAGGGACTGAACGAGTTCTGTCAGAGATTGTTCCCATCTTTCAGACCCAGTCTAAGGAAAATTATTGGTAACTGTTCTTTGATGGTGTAGAGGTCCAATAGACTGTATGGGATTGGTAAGGAGCAACAGGTGGAGGGAAGCAGCCTTGGGAGAGGGAGTTTCACACAGTTCTGAACAGGGGCTCAGGAACAAGAAGTTAAAGTACCAGTCTTCTGATCCAGTTACATTTTAAAGATGTAAAAAACAAAACCACCACCACAGATCCAGGGAAGTCAAGTAATTTTTCCAAGAATCCACAACGATACAGAACTTCCCAAGTCGACTTACAATACCTCTTGATTTACTTCCACACAACCTTCCCTCAGCAAGAGCCAACTTTATCTTTTTACAAAAAGAAAAGTCGGGGGGTGGGGAAAGTCAGGGGTCTTGGGGATGTAGTCCGCCATAAAGGAAAAGACTGATACTCTGATACTTATCCACTGTGTCACCTTGGGCAATTTGCTACGCTTCTCTAGGATTCAGTTTCCTCATCTAAAAAACAGATGGGGAAGACGGATAATAACTGCTCTTACAAGACCTTTAAGATCCTCAAGTAAAAGCCTGGGGCGCTAGTCCGGGCCTGTGGCGGGAGACCCTGGCCTAAGATGACTGGAGGCGGCCGGGTTGTGGGGTGTCTCCGTCAGCCCGAACCCCAGACCAGCACGAGTGTCCTCGATGGCCACCACTGCAGCAACAGCAGCCACCGCCGCGAACGCCCGCGTCGCCTGGCCTGTCTCGGCCGGGCCTCTCCTCACCTCACAGGCGCCGCGTTCCCAACTCCAGCCTCAGCTCACCTTCCCGACCACACCTCTGCGCACGCGCAGCGCCCGCCTCCCCCGCTCTCTGGAGCCGCGGAACTTGCGTTCAGAGATTTTCCTCCCAGTGCGGCCACCGTCGTTAGGGGAGGAAGGCGGGAGGGGGCGGGGACACGGGTGGGAGGTGGGTAAGCGCGCGCACCGCCCGTCCGTCGTGGTTTCCTGGCTGCGCGCGGCGGTGGCGGAGTGGCTGCAGCTGTAGCAGCAGCCGCGAAGATGGCGGAGGGGTTGGAGCGTGTCCGGATCTCCGCGTCGGAGCTGCGAGGGATTCTGGCTGCTCTGGCTCCGCAGGCCGGGAGCAGAGGTGGGTCGCGCCGCCCAGCTCCTGGGCCGGGCCTGCCCGCCCCGCCTCCCTCTCCTCCTCTGCCTCCTCCCTGCTCAGTCCGCGGCGCTCCTGAGCCCCCGCCCCTTCCCCATCAGTGGGTGCGGGGGCCGAGGGCCGTCCCTTGGCCGCCCCACCAGCCCGAGGGCCAGTGTGGAATCGGGCTCGGCCAGCCCCGGCCCCCTCCGGGAGAGCCCGACCCGAGTTCCTGCCTCCGCCCCCTTTCTCACAGCGAAGGTGACTGCTCCCCATTGCCCCAGCCTTCTCAGAGCAGTTTGTGATTCCCAGTCGTCAGGAGACGCGGCGAGAAGCGGGTGCTGGGGTCTGGGGGAGGCCCCGGGATGTATCGTTCCCAGAGGAATCATCCGCATGCCTTCCCTGTCATCTCTTTAGAGTTGGAGAGAAGGAGCTGGGGAAATCGAGGAGAAAGATTGAACAGCTTGGGACTTCCTTGCTGAACTTTTTCCCCCAAGGCAGGGTTCTGAAGTTTGCGCCACCGGAGAGATCCAGGACCTCCGGTAGAGAGCTGACTCTATTCTGGTTTGCCTTTGGCATATGTGGGAGCAGTTTTTATCAGAGAGAATGCTCATCTTGCAAATTAAAGTCTCCATCCACACCAGGAAAGCTCCAAGGAAGATTCTAGTATCTCATCTCTCCTTTGTTAGGTGGTGGAGTTGTGTAGAATGGTAGTTGTGCTTCTGCAGGCTTGTGGCCAAAGTCTGTGAAATTGGTTTTCGTTGGTCAGTTGAATGGGATTATTCAGGGTGTTTTCTCCCTCTGCTCTGAGTAGTAGTAGCTTTTCTCATTCCTCCTCCCCACCTCTAACTTAAGTTACAAAGGCTCCTGAGGGTGAGTTATTCTGGAGGTAAGCTGCTTTGCCTTTATTTGCACTTGAAGAAATGTTTTTTTAATAAAGCTTTTGAAAATACTGAGGCAGAGGTTTTGTGTTTTTGCGTCTTTCTGTTTTGTTACACCTATGAGTTAAATGCTGGAGGATATTATTTATTCCTGTTATGGGTTTGTTTGTATTGGTGTTTATAGAACAATACTAGGATTTTATAAAGCATTCTGTTTTGAGTACTCTATAATCTCAGTAATTGCTGTCCGTTTCCCATTGACAAGTTTAGTGGCTATTTGTAGTAGTCTCTCCCCTTAATAGGTAAAGGTAACAGATACCAAAAATAGATACTTGCTTATCTGTCATTCAGTAAGTTTAGGGAGCCTGGAGAGTAGTTTCGAAAGTCCTGTACCCTTATTTTTAAGTACTACAGTCCTTGGTATTTTGAGAGCATGTCACAATACTTCCATCATCCTCCAGAGAAAGCTCCTTTATGGAACTTTTTCCTTCTCATATTCCACATCATAGTAGCAGTTAGTCGCAGTATTCTAATGATGATAGTCTGAGCAGTATTTCCTTGGAATGACTGCTGGCTGCTGTTAGAGAGTTGGTGAGCATGAGTGGAGTTGAAGAATGTGAAAGGAACTGCTTCCTGTTTGCTTCAATAAGAGGTATGTGTTTGGGCAATTGGTATCCTAAAAGAAGAGGATTGTCCTGGTCAAGTTCAGAGACTGGAGTTGCATATTTTTCCCCCCCAGAGATGTCCAGAACTGTGGATTGTTGTGCATACCCCTCTTTTTCTCCTTTATCCCCAACTATTAGTACTATGTTAAAAAGGGCTTAGCCACCCTGGAAAAATGTTAGAAGCACTAGAAGAAAAGACTAAAATGGATCCAAGGGCTCCATAGCAGAGAACAGTTTGATGTTCAAATAGTTAGAGATCTTTTATTCCGGCAATGATAAGGTAGTTTGAGGTCTTGGACATCTGGATATGACTTGGGTAACACAAGAGAGTATGTTGTTGTTGTTGTTGTTGTTACTGTTTTTCCTATTTCCCTAATTCAAGTGTAGATAGCTCTAACATAATGAAGTTCTTAGCCTTGCCAATTGCTAAACAAGTACTGTAAATCTAGTAGAATTTCTGCTGCTTCAGAAATTTCCTTCCATGTTCGCCAGTATTAGCATTTCGATGTGTTGTTTTTGCTTGGCTTTTCTGTTATTTAACCAGAGTGACAGTTTTTTTTCCTTCCCTCCCCTTTTATTCTTTTCTTCTACTTGTTCCTTTCTTCTACCTGTTCCTCCCCAACACTCTCTCCAACATCATAGAAAACATGAAGGAGCCCAGGCAGCGCAGAGATAACCGGCGCCCAGATCTGGAAATCTATAAGCCTGGTCTTTCCCGATTGAGGAACAAACCTAAAATCAAGGAACCTTCTGGGAGTGACGAATTTAAGGATGAAATTATTAACGACAGGGATTCCTCTGCTGTTGGAAATGGTACACAGGTCATTAAAGATGTCTGCAAGGAACTGGATAACCAACATCAAAATGGTCCTGTAGACCCAGAAAATATTGGGGCACAGGAGTCCTTTCCTAGCACTTCTGGACAAGAGGATCGAAGTCTAAGAATTATCAAGAGAACAAAGAAACCTGACATGCAGATCTACCAGCCTGGAAGGCGTTTGCAGACTCTTACCAAAGAATCGACTGGCAGAGTGGGTGAGGAAGAAATCCTCAACCAGGTGGAGCAATTGAGAGTAGAAGAAGATGAGTATAGGGGAAATGTGAAAGAGGAGGTCATGAATAAACCAGACAAAGATGAGGCAGAAAAAGGCCTAAATGGTGACAGAATAAGGGCTGCAAAGGGAGAAAAAGGAAAGAGGATTGAGAAGGGGGAGGGGATAAAGAAAGTGACCGATGACCTGGCACAGGGGAAGCCGGGTTCAGCAAAGCGCTACTCCCGCTCAGACAAACGAAGGAACCGCTACCGCACTTGTAGTACCAGCTCGGCTGGCAGCAACAACAGCGCTGAGGGGGCTGGCCTGACTGATAGTGGATGTCGCCGCCGCCGACAGGATCGGACCAAGGAGAGGCCACGACTGAAGAAGCAAGTATCTATGTCCTCAACTGACTCTTTAGATGAGGACAGAATCGATGAGCCCGATGGGCCCAGGAGGAGCTCGGAAAGGAAGAAACATTTAGAAAGAAGCTGGTCTGGCCGTGGGGAGGGAGAGCAGAAAAGCAATGGGAAAGAAAATCGAGGCACTCTTCGTGTCACTTTTGATGCAGAAACCATGAACAAAGATTCCCCCCTCGTGAGATCAGCCAGGGAGGATGTGGATAGGATAAAGCTTGACAAAGGCCTGAGCAGTGGGGGCAAAGGCTCAGAGAAGCAGGAGTCCAAAAACCTGAAACAAGAACTTCGAGGCCGTGGTCGTGGCATTCTGATTCTGCCTGCCCATACCACCCTATCGGTCAGTTCAGCCGGTTCTCCAGAATCTGCACCTTTGGGACCTCGGCTTTTATTTGGATCTGGTAGTAAGGGATCTCGGAGTTGGGGCCGAGGAGGCACCACTCGACGATTATGGGACCCAAACAATCCTGATCAGAAACCTGCTCTAAAGAGCCAGACGCCCCAGCTACATTTCTTAGACACTGATGATGAAGTCAGCCCTACCTCTTGGGGTGATTCCCGCCAAGCCCAAGCATCTTACTATAAGTTTCAAAACTCTGACAACCCCTATTATTACCCCCGGACACCAGGCCCTGCCTCTCAGTATCCTTATACGGGCTATAGCCCTCTGCAGTACCCTGTGGGCCCTACAAATGGTGTGTACCCCGGGCCTTACTACCCAGGCTACCCAACTGCATCAGGACAGTATGTCTGTGGCCCCCTCCCTGCCAGCACCATGAGTCCTGAGGAGATGGAACAGCACATGAGGAACATGCAGCAGCAGGAGCTACATAGGCTTCTCCGGGTGGCTGACAACCAGGAACTGCAGCTCAGCAACCTGCTCTCCAGGGACCGCATCAGCCCTGAGGGTCTGGAGAAGATGACCCAGCTCAGGTGTGCTGTGTTCCGTCCTAGAGGGACGTGGGGGTAAGCTGGAGGTGGGTAAGCTCCTGTGGTGGAGGAGCGTAGAAACTTTTGGCAGGGCACTGGGCATTAAATCCCTTTCACATTGATTTTTATAAGGAAGGAGCAGTTGGAAAAAAGAACAGAAAATTTGGTTTCTTGTCTTAGAAATGATTATGCTTCCCACTTTTTCTTTAAGAAAAAAAATCTTTAAGAGAACATGGAATCTGGAAATGGAAAAGGAAAGACTTTCCAGAATGCCAAGAAGTGAACAACATATAACTTGTGGTGAAGATCTTATTTCAGCTGTTAAATTTAGGTGGAGGCATATGGGGAAAAATCATTTTCCTAGACATAACTGTCTTTAGAATGACATTCTGCTGTGCAGAATAAAAAGTCAAATGAGTACTATACCTGGTGGCATTTTGGATTTCCTGCCAAGGAAGGTGTTTAATTTGCAAGAAGCTCAGATCTTGGGTTTAGCCTTTCTTATGGTGTATTTGGAGCTAGAAGTTGCATGTATTTTATTCCAGAGCTGAACTGCTGCAGCTATATGAGCGCTGTATCCTATTAGATATTGAGTTCTCTGATAATCAGAATGTGGATCAGATCCTGTGGAAGAATGCTTTCTATCAGGTGATTGAGAAGTTCAGGCAGCTTCTCAAGGATCCAAATGTTGAGAACCCCGAACAGATTCGGAACAGACTTTTGGAGCTCTTGGATGAGGTAAACCATCATCTTTTTGTCCTCAGGATAAAGGCCTTAGCATTCTGTAGTTGTGATGGGTTTTTATCACCTGTAATATGATGATTTATAGCAGAACATTGACTAAAAACTTGATGCTCTTTTCTTGGGTTTAGGCCTAACCCACCCTATTGCTTCCTTGGGACCATAACTTATTGGCAATTGGAGTTAGTTCTGACCTTGAAAATTTTCTGAATATCTTGTTTGGGGGTGGGTGCTGTAGGGGGAGAAAGTGTGTATGGTGTGTGTCTGTGTATGTGTGTGTGTGTGTATTCATATTTTTAAAACCATGGAGGGGCTCATACTGTGAATTTGTCTTGTGTTTAGTTGGTGACCACTAAATACTGTGTATGCCTCTCTTTACATGGGATGACTAAACATTAGCAGAACTGTGGACAGGTTACTTGCCCCAGTTTCTGGTGGGTAGATTGGATCAGAACAGTCTGATTCAGCTGTTTCTTATTTTTTGTCTTTATAGGGTAGTGACTTCTTTGATAGTTTGCTTCAGAAGCTGCAGGTTACTTACAAGTTCAAACTGGAGGACTACATGGATGGTCTTGCCATTCGCAGCAAGCCATTACGCAAGACAGTAAGCCAGCTTCTTTATCTTAAATTTAATCATCCATTTAGTAAGCATTTGTCTAGTGTTATGTGCTAGGCACTATGCTAGGTGTTGAGGATACAAAACAAAAGATACAGTCCAGTGGGGGAACAGACCAATTAAACCTGCAATTATCAAGTAATAAGTACCATGGTAATGTTATATATACAGTGTGGAAGGGGCACAGAGTGAAATGGCTCTGATTCTGACTGGTGGAGTCAAGGGAGACTTCTGAGAGACTGTCAAGTCTTGAAACCTGACTAGGAGTGGAAGGGGCAGTACAGAGCACAGCAAGAGAGAATCAGGCCTTGTTGGAAAGTGTAAGAAGTTCAATATGCTGGTTTTTGTAATGTGGAATTGGGCTGTTGTAGGAGGTAAAGCTAATGAAGTAGAAAGGGATAGATCAAAAACTTTTGTGTGGCATACTGAAGAGTTTGGACTTTATTCTGAAAGCAGCGAGGAGCCATGGCTTGATTTTCACTAAATGGATAGCATAGATTTCTTCTTAGAACCAGTCACTGGCAAATGGATGATTTTGGGCAAGAGAGTGGAGGTAGGAGGGTCAGGTTGAGGGCCTGAACCTAAGGTAGAGGTAGTGGAGGTGGAAAAGAGGAGACAAATTGGAAAGATATAAGGGAAATAGAATTGACTTGCTGGCTGATTTGGTGTGAATGATGAGATAGGAGGCATAAGGAGTCTCGATCATCTCCCAGTTTGTGGCCTAGGAGGGTGGCTGGGAAGGAAGAGGTTAGTTTAGTTTTGGCTGTGCGTAAGTAGAGGAACTTGAAAATGAACAGATGAATATTCTGGTCTGTTTGAAGCTCAGGGGAAAGAGCTAAGCTGGTGCTATAGATTCAGAAGTCATCAGTGTGTAAGTGATAGTTGAAGCAGAAGTTGGGATCCTGGGATACTGGCCAGTCAGCCAGAGAGTGAGGGGTGGGGATCAAATTTCAAGGTGGTGGTGGGCAGAATTGTCAAGTGCTGTAGAGTCAGCGAATGCTGCTATTACTGAAAGTGTCCATTGGATTGGATGAGCTTATCACAATTTATTTCAGTTGGAGAGGATGGAAGACAGATTGCAGAGAATGAAAAGTGGGACAGTAGATACAACGAAGGGAGTAATATAGACCATCCTTTTAAGAATCTTGGCTGTGAAGGCAAGGAGGGAAGATAGTAGTTAAAAGAGAACATAGTGTCAAGAGAAGTTTGTTTTTAAGCTGGAAGAGTCTTAAGCATATTTATATATTGAGAGGAAAGGGCCAGGGTAAAGGAAGAAGTTAAATAAAGATTCATTAGAGAAAGGCATATGATTTATGGAGCAGCGACTTCCTCTTTCTACTCCTGATGATTGGTGTGCACAAACTCTATTACTAATCAACAAGTATTTATTGAGACCCTCCTACATGCCACATGTTTTTCTAAGACACATAATTCATTGTGGAACAAGAAAGCCATGATCCCAGCTCTTGGAGTTTAGAGTTTGCTTAGGGGTGAATACAGGTGGTGGATTAGTAATTGCAGATGCAGCAACTTCTGCAAATGATGTTGGGTGGGGTATAAGGTAAAGGGGTTTAGAGGATCATGGAAGACTGAGGAAGTCAGTTAAGGTGGGGCTAAAAATCTGAGATGTTAGCCAAGTGAAGGTGTATGTGAAGATGCTAGAACATTCTATGGAGAGGAAGTAGTATATGTGCAGGTCCTGAAGCTGGAAAGAGCATGGTGTGTTAGGGAGACTAAGAAAAGTCTAGTCTGACTGAGGTACAGAGAGAGAGAGGGGGGAGGTGGTGCTGCAGAGGTAAACAGAAGCTAGATCATCTGGGACTTCATCCAGAGGATAGTGGAGAGCCTTTGGTGGAATTTGTTTTTTTCTTCCCCCCATTGAGATAGTAGAGTGCTATAGTATGTTTCTTTTTTTTTTTTTAAAGATTTTATTTATTTATTTGAGAGAGAGGATGAGAGGAGAGAGAGAGCACATGAGAGGGGGGAGGGGCAGAGGGAGAAGCAGACTCCCTGCCGAGCAGGGAGCCCGATGCGGGACTCGATCCCGGGACTCCAGGATCATGACCTGAGCCGAAGGCAGTCGCTTAACCGACTGAGCCACCCAGGAGTCCTAGAGTGCTGTAGTATGGAAACATAATCTGTTTTCTTGGTGCTTTGTCAGCTAACTACAAAGGGTTCTTGGTGTTCATTCATAGAATGTGTGGAATAGTCAGGACTCTGAAGGTATATGGCTTGCAATGGTACATAACTTTGCTGAGGCACACATTTGTTATATATTAGGAGGTTGATGTGCAGCAGCTAGTTATTTAGCTAGTGGATGAGCCTTCCTCAGGGGCAGTATCTACTTCTCCTTGAAGTTTTGTTCTTTATTCGGTGATGTGTTAATTTCTTGTGTGTGAGGTGGAGTGGAATTGTATGTTATGAAGTGATGTTCCTTAGGTTTTTTGGTTGGACACATGTCTTGGGATTGTTAAGGGTCTACTCTGTTGTTTTGTAATGGAGGGACAGATGCCAAGCCCATTATTGAGAAAACATACATATAGAGAGGGAGAGAGAACTACCCAGTCCCTGGCCATTTTGTAGGTGTTTGGTAAAGGGTGACTATGTTATCATTTTAGGGAATTGTTATTGTTCTGCAAAGTGAATGAAATGCAGTAACACAGTGCAGTGATACTAATAGTTTGAGGAGAGAGAGACTATAGTGATGACAGGAAAATAACAGAATAAGTTATTTGTATATCACTTTATAATTTGTGAAGTATTTAACACTTACTCTATGGAGTATGCATTTTTATATTCAGATGAAGAAACTTGAGTCCAAAAAACAGTCCCAAAGGCCTACGGAAGATCACACAACTCTTACATATAGAGAGTCAGGTTTCCTGGTTTCCAGGTTTCAGAATGTTTTCTTCTGTTTACCTGGGACTTGAAATAAGAATGACCCCTCTCTTTTCTGCCATTCTTTCTCATTGGCTGTTTTCGCTAGGCAAGTTTAGACTGAAAACTTTTTTTTCTTTGTTGAGGACTACTAGTGCCTTATTAGTGCTGTTCTGTCACTTTGATCCTATCATTGTCCTTTGGTGTTGAAGTTAAAGTTTCTTGGGTATACTACTAACTGATCAACTAACTGATCATTTTTCCTGAAGGTAAAATATGCTTTGATCAGTGCCCAACGATGTATGATTTGCCAAGGAGATATTGCTAGGTATCGGGAACAAGCCAATGACACAGCAAACTACGGGAAAGCACGCAGGTACTTTTGCCTCTTGTTCATTGCTTCTCTTTCCTTGCGGCGTTAAGCTAAGCCCTATTAAGAGCAATGGGCCACCCGAGCTGCCTCTCATATGGAAGTCCTACAGGTGCCCCTGTTGGTCTTTGTAATCAGGCTTTACCACTCCAGCGTTACATCTAACACTCCAGCTTATGTCTTAAGCAGTTAGAGCTATCAGGTGATGAAATGGGAAAGCATTGATATGGAGCTAGCATTTTTTACTGTTTTTCTATTCCAGTTGGTACCTAAAGGCCCAGCATATTGCTCCCAAGAATGGGCGCCCATATAACCAGTTGGCTCTGCTGGCAGTGTATACGGTAAGCAATCCTATGGACAGGGGAAGTATTTTGCAGACAGTATCTTAGAAAGAATGGATTTTGATAGCATCAGCTCCTGGAGCTAGAGTTCCTCTGAACACTAAACCTAAAAAATATCCTTTCCTGCCATCCTCACATTCCTCTTGTTACTTTCAGAGGTAAGTTGTCAGTGATTCTTCATTCCAGTTGAATCTGTACTTCATTCCCTTTCATTGCACTTGAGTTCCTAAAGGAATGCTCATGCTCCAGCCAGACACCACTCTTTGTTTTTGACCAAGGCTTCTGCTCTGAATCTTGTCTTTCTTCCCTTCCCTGTCCTGTTGAATGAGGTTACTCATTTCTAGAAGGAAAATAAGGCTCCCTTTACCACTTTTCCTTAAAGTCCTCAACTAGCCCTAACTAGTGAGATCCTTACTTCCTTTCCCCAGATTATCCCCTTATTCCTCTTAAGTTTTCACTTAATGAGCCTCCTTAGCAGAAGCACTTAGTGCCAAATTGTATCTTCCTAGATCTTACCAAACTCCTCTCAATATGCCTCTAACAGAGAGCCTTGGGAGCAGGTAACAGCCCCTCGTAAGGAAGCTGAATTGAAGGCGGTGGGGAGGTCAATGGTAGGTATCAAAGATTTAAGTATAAAGCAGCTAACATGCTCATTTAACAGGAAGAGTTTTCATAATGCTATTGCCCGAATACTCAGTGTTTGAGTTAAAATATTTATTCCCCTTTATTCAACAAAAGATTCAAAGAAATTCCTAACACTTCATGATGGATTGAAATTGTTGATTAAGTAGTGTGGTTGACTGACACACTTCCTTCTACATCTCTAGAATATCTTCATTCTCTTTCTTTCTTTCTTTCTTTCTTTCTTTCTTTTTTAAGATTTTATTTATTTTTTGACAGAGAGAGACACAGCGAGAGAGGGAACACAAGCAGGGGGAGTGGGAGAGGGAGAAGCAGGCCTCCTGCGGAGCAGGGAGCCCGATGTGGGGCTTGATCCCAGGACCCTGTGATCATGACCTGAGCTGAAGGCAGACGCCCAGTGACTGAGCCACCCAGGCGCCCCCACTCTTTCTTTTTTTAGATTTTATTTATTTATTTGAGTGAGAGAGAGAGATCAGCAACAGTGGGGAGGGGTAGAGGGAGAAGCAGACTTCCCACTGAGCAGAGAGCCCGATGCCGGGCTTTATCCTAGGACCCTGGGATCATGACCTGAGCTGAAGGTAGATGCTTAACCGACTGAGCCACCCAGGTGCCCCTCTTCATTCACTCTTTATTTTCTTTAGTACACTAATAGTATTTTGCAACTATCAACTCTATCTAAGTCCAAGACGTTTTCATCACCCCAAAAGGAAACCTCATACCCATTACTCTCCATTCCTTCTACCTCCCAGCCTCTGGCAACCACTTAGTCTGCTCTCTGTTTCAGGATATACCTATTGAATGTTTCATATAAATGGAATCATCCAGTATGTGACTTCTTTATGTCTGGCTTCTTGCATTTAGCATAAAGTTTTTGAGGTTCGTTTATGTTGTAGGATGTCTCAGTACTTCATTTTTATGGCCAAATCATATTCCATTGTATGGATATACTATACTTTATTCATTAGTTATTGGACGTTTTGGTTTGTTTTCACCTTTTAGCTATTGTGAATAGTGCTTTGTGAAGTACAGGTATTTGAATAACTGTCGTCAGTTCTTCTGAGTCTATACTTATGAGTGGAATTGCTGGGTTATATGGTAATTCCATGTTTAGCCTTTTTTTTGAGATTATTTTAGAGACAGTGTGCATGCTGGTGGGGGGAGGAACGAAGAGAGAGAGGGAGAGAGACTCCCTGCTGAGCATGGAGCCCAGTGCGGGGCTCGATCTCACGACCCTGAGATCATGATCTGAACCGAGATCATGATCTGAGCCGAAATCAAGAGTCAGATGTTTAACTGGCAGCCGGCAGGCGCCCCCATGTTTAACTTTTTAAGGGATCACCAAACTTTTCCATAGAGGCTGCACCTTTTTACATTCCCACCAGCAATGTACAAGGGTTCTAGTTCCTCCATGTTCTCACCAACATTTTCATTTCTTTGATTATGACCCACCCGCACTGTGGGTTTTTTCCCCCCACTTGGGGACATTTTTTTCTTTAGTGTTTTTTTCTTCTTTCCGTCCTTCCTTCCTTCCTTCCTTCCTCTCCCTTTCTTTTCTTCTTTCTTTCCTTCCTTCCTTCCTTCCTTCATTCCTTGTCAGTTTTAAGTTTGCAGAAAAATTAAGCAGAAAGTACAGAGTTCCCATATACTCCCTCAACTCCTCTCCCAGTCAATTTTCCCTGTCATTAACATCTTGCATTAGTGTAATACATTTGTTTATTATTGGTGAGCCAGTATTGATACATTATCACTAACTAAAGTTCCTAGTTTACATTAGGGTTCACTTTTGTACAGTCTGTGGATTTGAACAAATCTGTAATGACATGTATTCATCATTACGGTATCAAACAGAGTAGTTTCACTGTCCTAAAAATACCCTGTGCTCCACCTCCACCTGTTCATCCCTCCTCACTCCTCTGAACCTCTAGTAATCTTAATTTTTACTGTCTATAGTTTTGCCTTTTCCTGAATGTCATAGTTGGAAACCATACAGTATGTAACCTTTTCATATTAGCTTGTTTCACTTAGTAATATGCATTTAGGATTACTTTTGTGATGTGACAGCTCTTTTCTTTTTATTGTTGAGTAATATTCCATTGTATGGATGTACCACAGTTTGTTTATTCATTCCCCTATTGAAGGACATCTTGGTTGCTTTCATGTGCACTTAGTAATATGCATTTAGGATTACTTTTGTGATGTGACAGCTCTTTTCTTTTTATTGTTGAGTAATATTCCATTGTATGGATGTACCACAGTTTGTTTATTCATTCCCCTATTGAAGGACATCTTGGTTGCTTTCATGTGCTTATTTGCCATTTGTGTTTCTTCTTTGGTGAGGTGTCTGTTTTGATCTTTTGCCCATCTTTAAATTGGGTTGTTTTTTTATTGTTGAGTTTTAAGTGTATATTTTGAATATCAGTCCTTTATTAGATATGTGTTTTGTGAATATTTTCTCTGTATGTGGCTTATCTTTTCATTTTCTTAGCACAGAACAAAAGTTTTTAATTTTAATGAAATCCAACTTACCAACTTTTTCTTTTGTGGATTTTGCTTTTGGTGTAATACCTAAGAACTCCTCACCAAACCCAAGGTTATCTAGATTTTCTCCTGTGTTATCTTCTAGGAGTATAGTTTTACATCTTACATTTAGGTCTGCGATCTAGAAAGGCATAAGGTCTGTGGCATAGATTCATTGTTTTGCATGTCGATGTCCAGTTGTTTCAACACCATTTGTTGAAAAGATCATCCTTTCTCCATCGAATTGTCTTTCCTCCTTTGTCAAAGATCAGCTGGCTGTATTTGTCTGGGTCTATTTCTGGGCTCTCTATTTCATTCCATTGATCTGTTTGTCTGTTCTTTGGCCAGTACCACTATAGTAGCTTAATGGTAAGTCATGAAGTTGGGTAGTTCGGTCTTCCGACCATGTTCTTCTTTGTCAGTATTGTGTAGGTTATTCTGGATCTTTTGCCTTTCCATATAAACTTTAGAATCATTTTGTTGTTATCTACAAATCTATTGACTTTGCAGTAGTATCTCATTGTGGTTTTGATTTGCATTTCCCTAACAACTAATGATGTTGAGCTGCATTATAGGCCATTTGGAGAAATGTCTATATAAATCCTTTGCCTATTTTGTCTTATATTAAAAAAAATTAAAAAATTTATTTGTAAAATATACATAAGATGAAATTTACCATCTTACCCATTTTACATTTACATTGTTTTGCAACTAACCTCCAGAACTCTCTTCATCTTGCAAAACTGAAACTTTATACCCATTAATTAAGCAACTCCCCATTTTCCCCTCCCTCCAACCACTGACAACCACCCTTCTACTTTCTGTCTCTGAATTTGTCTACTTTAGGTACTTAATATAAGTGGAATCATACAGTATTTCTTTTTGTGACTGGCTTATTTCACTTAGCATGATATCCTAAAGGTCCATCCATGTTACAGCTTGTGTCAGAATTTCCTCTTTAAGGCTGAATAGCACTCAGTTATATGTATATACCATATTTTGTTTATCACTTCATCTGTCAGTGCACACTTCCACCTTTTGGCCATTGTGAATAATGCTGCCATGAATGTGAGTGTACAAAAATTTCTTTAAGACTCTGCCTTTAGCATGGGTCCCAGGGTCCTAGGATCGAGTCCCACATCGGTCTCCTTGCTCAGCGGGCAGCCTGCTTCTCCCTCTGCCTGCTGATCCCCCTGCTTGTGCACTGTCTCTCTCTGTCAAATAAATAAATAAAATCTTAAAAAGAAAGATTTATTTATTTATAATTTGAGAGGACAGAGGGAGAGAATCTTCAAGCCAACTCCCTGCTGAGCACAGAGCCTGATGCAGGGCTTGATCTCACGACCCATGAGATCATGACCTGAGCGGAAACCAAGAATTGGACATTTAACCGACTTAGCTGCCCAGGTGCCCCTCTTCTAAGAGTTTTTATAGTTTTTATATCTAGATCTTTGGCCCATTTTTCATTAAGTAAATGGTGTGAAATATGGGCCCAACTTCATTCTTTTGCATGTGGATATCCAGTTCTAGTACCATTTGTTGAAGAGGCTGTTCTTTCCCCATTGACTAGTCTTGGGATCCTTGTTGTAACTCAGTTGGTGCCTGGATTTATTTCTGGACTCTCAGTTCTCGTCCATGGATCCATATGTCTACCCTTATGCCAGCACCTCATTGTTTTAATTACTATAGCTTTGTGGTAAATTTTGAAATCAGGATATATGAGTTTTCCACCTTTGTTCTTTTTTAAGATGAGTTTGGCTGTTTGGGGTTTCTTGTAATTCCATATGGATTTTAGGATCAGCTTTTTCATTTCTGCAAAAAGAGTCACTGGGATTTTCATAAGAATTACATTGACTGTGTAGTTGCTTTGGGGAGTATTTACACAGATGTTTTTGATTTATTTAGGTCTTCTTTAGTTTCAGACGTGTTTTATAATTTTCAGTATATAAGTTTTACACTTCCTTGGTTAAGCTTATTCCTAAGTATGTTATTCTTTTTGATGCTGTTGTAAATGGAATTATTTTCTTAATTTCTTTTAAAGATTGTTTATTACTAATATATAGAAATATAACTGATTTTTGAGCATTGATCATAATATCTTACAACTTCACTGAATTCCCTCTGTGGCTTTTTGCCATTCTGATTAAATTGGTATATTTTTCTTTCATAGACCTCTGCTAAATTAGTGGTCCTTTCAAGCTCTTTTCCTCTGTCCCTCTTTTTTTGTCTCCCTTTTATCCTAGTTGTTTTTTTTTTTTTTTAAGATTTTATTTATTTATTTGACAGAGAGAGACACAGCGAGAGAGGGAACACAAGCAGGGGGAGTGGGAGAGGGAGAAGCAGGCTTCCCGCGGAGCAGGGAGCCCGATGCGGGGCTCAATCCCAGGACCCTGTGATCATGACCTGAGCTGAAGGCAGACGCTTAACGACTGAGCCACCCAGGCGCCCCTATCCTAGTTGTCTTTTAATATCACTTTCTTAATTTTCTGTTTCCTCCAGTCAGTCATTCAGTGAATCTCAAGAATTCAGTGAGAACATGTTTGTGCACAGCACTTTGCTAGGTCCTGTGAGTGATGAATATGTGATATGTTTTCTGCTCTGAAAATGTGTTGAGAAGACAAGTGAGGTGTGTAGACAGTGATAGAAATTAGATGTCATGAAATTTGATGCAATTGATTAGATGTGCCATTATTTTCTGGACCATTAAGAAAGAATATGTGAATTATAAATAGGACATAATGGTAGATATTGGTTGTAAGTTCTATCTTGATTTCAGAAATGTTAAAATATGAAAAAATCATTGTAGAATCGACAAAACGCAATCTAAAATCAAGTGAGTGGTATAGGCTGAGATCAGTACAGATTGGGATAATATTAAAAATAGCCCCCGGGCGCCTGGGTGGCTCAGTTGGTTAAGCGACTGCCTTCGGCTCAGGTCATGATCCTGGAGTCCCTGGATCGAGTCCCGCATTGGGCTCCCTGCTCGGCAGGGAGCCTGCTTCTGCCTCTGACCCTCCCCCCTCTCATGTGCTCTCTCTCTCTCATTCTCTCTGTCTCAAATAAATAAATAAAATCTTTAAAAAAAAAAAAAAAAGCCCCCATTAGGGGTGCCTGTCTGGCTCAGTCAGTAGAGTGTGTGATTGTTGATCTCAGGGTTGTGAGTTTGAGCCCCAAGGCGGTGTAGTAGAGATTACTTAAAAATAAAATCTTAAAAAATAAGAAAGAAAAAAGTAGCCCCCATTTAACTGACTGTAACAGTAGATCAGATAATCTGTTAAACTGTATGTGTTATATGAATTTTATTCATTTTAGGAGCCATATATGTATAAATATCTTCTAATAAATATCTACCTAATAAGTGGCAGGACCTAATTCAAACTCAGGCAGTTGACCTTAGAATGTGTACCTTTAACCATGCTAGCTGAATAGAAGATGCGAGGTTTTTTGTTGTTGTTGTTGTTTTTAAGATTTAAGTTTTGAAGAATGAGTTACAGGGGTGAGAGAGAAGTTAGTGTTCTAAATGCATTTTGAGACAGCTAGAAAAAAAGGAAAAAATATATATGAAGTTGGAGAAAGGCTTTTTGACATTCTTTCCCCCTTTGTTTCAGTGTTTTTCTTTCTCCTTTCTGATCTTCTCCCTTTCTTTTACTTTTCCTTATTAATTGGTTATGAAACAAACTTGAAGTATTTATTTGCTGAATTCATTGGATAATAGTTTATAGTTCCCTTTCTGTGCAGAATCAGTGTGGTATAGGGCAAACCTGAACTCAGGAGCCAGACAGACCTAGGTTTATATACTGGCATACCCAGGATTTGTCTTGGAGGCCTTGATGGACAAGTTATGTTGTTGGACAACAATCTTCCTGGGCTCCCCTTTCTTCATCTTTGAAATGGGACTAATAATGCCTTTGGGGCAGTGTTCTTAGGTTTAGGAGTAAAATCTATGAAGTGATGGTCACTTGTCTCACTGTGCTTAATCATTGATATTGCCATTGTTATTTATAATTTTTTTTAGCTAATAACTAGTGAGTTGAACATTTCTTTCTCTAAAAACAAAATTGGATTTTATATTTGATGAGGCTCTTTATTCTTTTCTCCCTCTTGTGAGTACTTGGCTCTTAGAGTACCTCCACATGTAAGTCAGAGTCCTGTGCCAGGAGAGATCCCTGACGTAATTGCCGTGGTTCATCCCATGGATAGCATTCTGATTTTCTTATTGGAATTCCTTATAGCCTGGGAGAGATAGTAAGGTTTTCTAGGTCAGCTGACTCAGGCTGGAGTCAGGAAGAGAACTGGTTGACTTGATGTCTCTGGCCTCTTTCTGCAGAGGAGGAAGCTTGATGCTGTCTATTACTATATGCGCAGTTTAGCTGCCAGCAACCCTATCCTGACTGCCAAGGAGAGTCTCATGAGCTTGTTTGAGGAGACCAAACGAAAGGTGAGTGGGGATGCAGGCAGACTCATTCCTTCCTAAAAGAATGTGTTTCTCTTAGTGCTTCCGTGTCCTCAGAGGAATGCCTTATAATGCCCTCAGGGGGTCCCATTGGGCTGTGCTGGTAAGTCAGTCAGCCCCTTTGCAGAACCAAACCCATCATTAGGAGAGTTCTCCAGGGCCTTTGGGTGTGCATCTAGATTATGGAATTAATAACTTCTATGAGACAAAGCAGATAATACTTTGCTACTTAGGGACTATAGAAAAGTCTTTATTTTTTATAGCCCCTGAGCAACAAACTCAAGATGAGGTGAGTGCTTCTTTTTATTAGTTGACTCCCAGGAGAGTCTGAGCTTATGTGTTTGTATGTTGTACAGGCAGAGCAGATGGAAAAAAAGCAACACGAGGAATTGGAACTGAGCCCTGACCAGTGGCGGAAAGGAAAGAAGTCTACTTTCCGGCATGTTGGAGATGACACCACTCGCTTAGAGATCTGGATCCATCCATCACATCCCCGGTCCTCCCAGGGCACTGAATCTGGGAAGGATTCTGAGCAGGAGAATGGGCTGGGCAGCCTGAGCCCAAGTGATGTAAGTTGCTGAGGGTGATATAATGATCAAGACTAGCTAAGTAAAAGTGGATGCCCCAGTACATGCAACTGAGAGGCACTGCACAGACATTTCCCATGAATCCCGGGGAAAGTAAATCACTTCAGGCTTTCTGACGTCCTCTTTCTCCTCAAGCTTCACTTCATCTTTATTATATGCTTCCCTCTCTCACCACTATGTGGCACTGTAGAATTTAGTAAAACTAGTTTTTCTAAAGGAAGATCTACTTAATGTAGATGAGAATTTTTTGCTGCTTTGGGTTTAGAGTCACCAATATGATGCTTTAGGATTCTGTAGGGATTTTGTGAAGCTAGTAGGAGAGAGAGCATAGTAGGAAAACTGCAGATGGCTGGTTCATTGTCCTTTGAGAGTAAAATTCCTGGTGGAGTGGATGGTGGGGTGACCTGGGACCACATCTTGAAGGGTCACGCAGTAAATAATTTGACCTTTATCCTGAAGGTAGTAGGGAACTATTGAATGCTTTAAATAAGGAAGTAACTTGTCAGATACACATTTTAGAAATATAACTCTGGCTGCTTTGTGAAAAGTTTGGAGAAGGGTAAGACTAGAAATAGGAAGAGTAGGAGGGGTACTACAATAATCCAAGTATGATGTGGGGAGGACCTGAACCAGGAAATGGCTTTGGAGATGGGGAGAAGTGAACAAATATGAGGTATATTAATGAGGTAGAATCCAAAGGACTTGAGTGGACAGGGAGCTGAAGGACAAGAGGAAATCAAAAGTAACATCTACCTAGGTGTTTCTGGGTTGGAAACTGAATGAATGCTGGTCTATTCCTTGAGATAGGGAATAGAGGTAGAATTGGTTTTAGGAGAAAAATGAGGAGTTTAGTTTAGACATGTTAGAATTTCTATAGGACATTGAAGAGAGATTTAAAGGCTATCTTATCTGAAGCTGGGGAGAGCATTCTGGATTAGAGATGAAGATGTTTGAAGGCATCCTCTTATAGATGGAATTGAAGTCATGAGAGTTGATTCAGTCACTCGAGAAAAAAACAATGAGAAGTAGGTTGAAGATCTAAGAGAGAAAGGAGATAGATGGTGGGCAGGGAGAGGTCCTTGCAGAGGATTGGAAGGGAGAGGAATCTGGAGCACAAGTTTACGGATTAGCCTGAATGAGGGTGAGAGATCCCTCTTTCTTATGCTTGAGGGAAAGGAACAGGTAATAGGGGGTCAGGTAAGTTGGTGGGAATTGTAGGAGGAAGATGAGGGAGGGCCTTTTTGATGTTTTCTTTTTTCTTTTTGAAGTTGGAGACATGGTTGTCTGCTAAGAATGAATCGAAGGTGGTGGGATAGGAGGACTTCCTTGGGGTTTAATTTAAAATTTCCATTTCTCTGGGGCACCTGGGCAGCTCATTCGGTTGATTGCCCAACTCCTGGTTTCTGCTCAGGCCATGATCTCAGGGTTGTGGGATCAAGCCCCGCATCGGGCTCTGTGCTCACCACGAGTCTGCTTGTCCCACTCCCTGTGCTCTGCCCCCGACTCTCTCTCTTTAAAATAAATAAATAAAATCTTAAAAAAAAAAATAAAATTTCCACTTCTCTTCCTTTATCCTTTTTAGTCTTTAGCTGTTTTCTGCATGACTTGGAAGTAGTCATTACTTATAAATGAAACTTCCAATTTGCCATGTGCCATGGTTTGCATGGGGTGCTTCAGAGGAGTTGCCTCTATGGTAGACTCTCTCACTGCTGCACTCTCCCAGTTTGGATATTGCAGCCCCAAATGGGAAGCCTATTTGAATAAGAGAGAAATTGTTCTATTGGGTTAGCTCCACTGTCTGTCTCTAAAATGAAAGCAACAGGGGCTCCTGGGTGTCTCAGGCAGTTGAGTGTGGACTCTTGGTTTTGGCTCAGGTCATGATCTCAGGGCCCACACCGGGCTTCACGCTCAGCAGAGAGTCTCCCCCTCCCCCTGTGCTCTTGTATTTCTCTCTGTCTCTCAAATAAATAAATATTTTAAGTAAATAAATAAAATGCGGGTAGCAACAATTTGAGAAAGCATTTTATGGCTTTCTTTGACCTTCACCTCAAGGTTATGGAGTATCCTTCATAAGAGTTAAGGTTATAACTAATATCCTATAGATCTCTTCCATTAGGTATTTCATTGATTTTTAAGTAATGTGTTTATAAGTCTGTTTTTATTTATTTATTTTTTAATATTTTATTTGAGAGAGAGTGAGCATGAGTGGGGTAGGGGGACAGAGGGGCAGTGGGAGAAGTAGGCTCCCTCCTGAGCAGGGAGCCCAATGCAGGACTGGCTCCCAGGACCCCGAGATCATGACCTGAGCTGAAGGCAGACGCTTAACCAACTGAGCCACCCAGGCGTCCCTAAGTCTGTGTTTTTATTCTTATTTGCATCTCAGAGAATGCATTTTCAGCATATGGGCTGTCATTAGATCTATTAATTTTTATTAATTTTATTAGTAAATTAATTATTAGTTTTATTAATTTTAATAATTATTTTTAATCATACAAATAATACATGGGTATGTTTTTGGTAGAAATTTCAAATAATTAGAGACATATACAGAGGAAAATGGTCATTTCTTTTTTAAACTGTTTGTGAAGCTGTTTTTATATTTTCAGCCTAATCATCATCCACCCAGGTGCCCCTATAGTTTGCTTTTCTAAGTTATGAATTGGACATACAGTCAGTTCTGTTATAATGTTATAACACACAGAGTCCTAAAAATCACTGTGCTTTGTAAAATTGCACAGAAAAAAAGCCACAGAGCTTTTGGGCAAGATGGGGTTAGGGGCACATCACTCAAAAGATATCCGTAGTGACTTATTAAAAGATATGAACCTAAGACAGTTGTGCAATTTTATACATGTCCATTGGTTAAGAAATACATAAATACTATTTTGGAAAAGAAATGAACTTTAGAAGCGGGGTTTAGGAGGATTGCAGCTTGAGTGTTATGGTGAAGTGGTGGAAGGAGGGTTATTTGAAATTGGATGGATAGATGTAACACCAGATGTGGATTGGTGTGGCTTAGAACGAGTTCACATGGTGAACTGCGGTAGCTGGTAGATATTTGGAAAGTGTGTGTGTTTTCTGTTCCTGTGTAGCTCAGTTCAACCCAGTGCAGTTTTCTGTGTTCACTCAGTGTATCACATGAACAAAATCACATATAAGGAGATGCAAAATTTGTGCTATGCTCAAATTGTTCCCCAGTATATTTATCACAATGAAACAAATAGATATTTTCGAAACAAGGATTATAGCAGAACTAACTATATTTCCACTTGTCTAAGAATATCTTTTTTTGGTATGTTCTTAGTATGATTGATATTTCATTATAAGGGTATATGTCATTTGTTTGCTTTATCTGTGTAATTTATATATTTGCTGTGCATGCTTGTTCATTTTGGTTGTCTTTTTTGGGTGATTAGCCTTACCAAGAATTGCTCCTTTGACAATTCCTAGAGAGTTTCTAGCACAAACTACTAAAATTCACATCCATGAATAAGAAGCAGAAAGTTTGGCTTCAGGTGGTTGTTAGTAATGATAGTAGAGTCCCAACTAGTTTGTTTTCTCTCTGCCAAGCACAAGCTTTGGATCTCTCTCTGAATGGCTACAGAAGGTTAGCTTGTGGGTTGTTGGTTTTCAGCCTTGAGATGTGGTTTGGGTTGAACACGCTACCTGGGGAGGGACTGCCAACCTCAACTGTAAGTGGCATCCTTTTAAACTATTGAGACTCATATTTAAACTCTACCCCTGCTAGCTAGGCTACTCAAATTCAATGTTACCAGGGCCACGAGCATTCTTTGTGTAGTGGGTGTGCCTTCTGCTGTACCTCAGCTCCCTTTGGAAATCAGAAAAGGGTTACCGCTTAGCAAATGAGTTTTTACAGATAGTGAGTTAATTAAGGAGATGATAGCATCAGAAACAGTTTTCACACTGAGAGGCCAGGGTCTCTGATGAAACTGCTCTGTTTATATCTTTTTTTTTTTTGAAGATTTTATTTATTTATTCATGAGAGACAGAGAGAGAGAGAGAGAGAAGCAGAGGGAGAAGCAGGTTCCCAAGGAGCAGGGAGCCTGATGCGGGACTCGATCCCAGGACCCTGGGATCATGACCTGAGCTGAAGGCAGACGCTTAACCGTCTGAGCCACCCAGGCGCCCAAAACTGCTCTGTTTATATCTTGAATAGAATGTAATTTGAATCTGTCTACTGGGGAAGAATGAGCAAATGAGAATAGGAGCCACTGTTAGAAGTTTGTCTCTGAAACTTTAGTGAGTTCTCATATTTTGGCATGATTTGATTTACCATTCCTAGCATTTTCCCCAACTGACTATGGTTACTCTACCTATAACATGTTTGGTGCTATGTGTAGAAAATGTCTTTAGGTAATGAGATGTCATTGTATATTTGGCCAGCCTCTTGACAAATCTTTCTTCTCCTTCACCCTTCTAAATGTGTTTTGGGGTTCAGACTGGATTGTACCTCAGTAGTTCCTAATACCTATTGTTGAGTCTTTCCTTATTTGAATCTCTCTTATTTCACCCACCAAATGGTTTTTAGACCATACCAATATTTATTTTATTTTTTTGCATAGTATTTTTTTTCAGGACTTGTTTACATCCAGAATTTACTGCAGTTATTCTTTTTTTTTTTTTTTTAAAGATTTTATTTATTTATTTGACAGAGAGAGACACAGTGAGAGCAGGATCACAAGCAGGGGGAGAGGGAGAGGGAGAAATAGGCTTCCCGTGGAGCAGGGAGCCCGATGCGGGGCTCGATCCCAGGACCCTGGGATCATGACCTGAGCTGAAGGCAGACGCTTAACGACTGAGCCACGCAGGCGCCCCTACTGCAGTTATTCTTGAGTTTTGGGAGAGAGGGCTGCTTCTGGGTCCAGTACTTAACCAGCCTAAAGCTTAGTTTACCTGTCCTATTGTGCCAGCTTTGTGCTAGGGTTGTAAAGATGAATACAACATTGTTATTACCTCAGAGA